ATCAAACCCTTTTTATTGATCACTGAACTGGTGGACGACATCCAGGCGCATTTAGGTCTTTCTTCTCCACCTACATGACTCTTGACATTAACGGTGTAATTACACTAAGGCTCCATCCAAAGTACCATTGCTCTCCACAATATCCGCCAAGCAACACATTCTACTCTACCGTACTCAATTCTGGAAGCTGATGGTATCCCCCCATCCGCCATGAAACTGGGAAGGCCTGATATGTCACTGCTCCTTTTGTATATGTTCGCCGTTTCACTGGGATCCAAGTACTTTGCAGATCAATGGAAAACTTCACTTCTCAGCCATCGCCATAAGGGTTGCGCAAAACAGGAGATTGACAATTACAGGCGAAGTCAGTATTCGTGAAATTGGTAAAAAAAGTGTGCGGAAATTCATCAACTCCCTGGAGTTTGTAGACAGGTTCTAAAATGGTTACCTTGACTAACGATTGCACACATTCTGGTAGCTGCATTACCTGAACTACATACCGGACTCCATTGACTCAAAGTATGCCATCTTAATTATATGCTTGCACATGCAGAAAACATTCGATCGGGTTCCTTACAAACGGTTACCGAATCAGATAGATTTCTTTGAAGTCCGGAACACATTAATGGGTTGGCTATCATCATACATGAATGGTCCCGTTAAAATAGTCATCTTAGGCGTCCATTGCTCTTCTCCGCATCCAATTACCATCGGGATTAAACAAGGATGTGCGCAGGGTACATGAATTTAATTTATTTCTGTCTTTCTGTCTAGCTCTGTACTTACATCCAGGGATTGCTAATATGAGTGTCACAGATAGTGCGTGTGTATAACCCCTCAGAGGAAGAATGAATTGATACCCGCGTGAACTTGAATGCATTTGACGTTATTTTAATATTTGTAACACGCCAACTTATTTGCACTGTGCTTGAAGTTGCCTGTACAGAGGTGAAGTTTTAACTCACATGCAAACGTGGAGCGTCATATCTGCCCTGTCGACGTGGCCACATGTAACCTTGTGGTTAAGGCCAGTTCATCAGTTTTCGTTTGAAATCGTCGGTCCTCCATCAGATTAACATGCCTCATTGTGCATACATTGCTGCGGATCGGTCAACATGCAGCGCTTGCCGGAAGATTGGAGGTCTTCTCGATCGATATCTGCTGCCTATCGGAAACCCGCGTGCAAGACTCGGGCTTTGTGCTCGCTTTGCGATCGCGTTCACCAGCAGTGCTTTCTCATTGCGCATATCCGGAGACGATACAGCTTTGAGTACCTGCCAAGCAGGTGTTGGTATTGCCCTGGGTTCCCGGTCTGAGGCTGCTCTGGTGAATTAGATCCCAATCAGTGGCTACATGTGTGCGGTCTGACTGTCTGGCTTGCTCCAAGCTTCGAATTTGCTCGGGGCTTATAGGTGTCTGTTGGTCATCGCTGCCTGCTCCCACGCTAAATATAGCGATGATTCGGTAAAAGACGACTTCTATCGCCAATTGAACAAGCTTCTTCACCACAGACGAAGCACGGACGCTGTAGTGCTGCCTGAGGATCTGAACGCTCAAGTTGGGTAATTGTCCACTGATGAAATGCATCTGGGCGGTCAGCACGATGTAGACTATCGGTGAGTGTTTACTTCATTTGTGGGAAGATGCTCGCTTATTTAGTGCGAACAATGACTTCCAGTACAGCACCCACCAGAGGATGACATGGCGCTCACCAGCCTTGGACGCAGATCGATCACATTGTGATCAGTTTCTGCTGGATCGGCTGCGTTCAGAACTGTCGCCCGATTTGGAGCATATGTGTAGATACTGATCATACACTTGTATGTGCTGATCTGCTGGTGCGTTTTGGCGGACGCTCACGGCGACCCTGTGAGCGCATTGACACCAGTCAACTGACGAAGCCAGTTGTACTGAATGCCTATCAAAGTGCGCTGATTTGCGGGTTGAGTAAGCGCTCACTGGAGACAATTGAAGGTCACTGGTCTCATGCTCACCATATCTTACTAGCAGCAGACAAATCCTCATTTGCTAAGTCTAATAGCCAACATGGACATTGGGTCTCTTCGCAGTCTCTGCAACTTATCGATGCTCGCCAACCCATTCCGACTGGAAGTGAGCACAACGAGACTCGCGAAAACCTACTGGACAAACTGCGTGCTGCTCTGAAGAGAGCGCGAATCTAGGTGATCTCGTCGAGCGCCAGAGAGTAAAGTGGCCGCTGCCCTTGACAATCATCGGAACTTATTCCGTTTGATACGTGAAGCCGGCAGCAGTAGACCTGGTGTTAGTGAGACTAGACGTGACGAGAGTGGACAACCTATCCACAACTTGTCAAAACGCTTGGAACGTTGGGCTGAGCACTTTGAAAGGCAGTTTAATCGGCCGGAGTTGTCAGATTTCTCGCCGGCCACTGATCGCCCTGCTCCGTGGGCTGTCCCTTTGGCTCCGCCTTATGGTTCAGAAATCGAACGTAAGATCGGACTGTTGGAATTAAACAAAACCGCGTAACCATATGATCTTCATCCATCTCTCTACAACTTCAGGGGCCCTGCTCTTGTGAATGATTTACACCAGTTACTGGTAAAACTGTGGGAACAGGAAGCTGTCCCAACCGACTGGAGCCGCTCTGTTATTGTCCCGATCTTCAAAGGAGGCTCGCGTTCGGAATGAGGCAACCACAGAGAATCAGTCTGTTTCCCATCGCCTCCAAATTACTTACCGCCGTAATCCTTCACAGACTGACCGGCGCTCGTGAAAGCCAAATTCGTGAAGAGCAAGCCGGGTTTCGTCGAGCTCGAGCATTGACCACATCTTCACTTTGCGTCAGTTGTTGGAGCACCGTCACATATATTGGCGGCCCACCGTAGTTGTGTTCCTCGATATCAAAGGTGCATTCAATTCGCTTTTCCGATGTGCCCCTTGCGACTGTCTACTCAGGATAAGTGTGCCTGAGAAATATCTAAATGTTGTCCGAGCGTTATACGCGCGTAGCTCGGGCAATGTGAGGACTTACGGCAAGCTGTCGCCACCCTTCAATATCTCCAGTGGTGTGCGACAAGGGTGCCCGCTCTTACCTTTCTTCTTCAACTTCGCCATTGACGAACTCATGGAGTCGTGACGAATGACTTGACTTGGAATATGCTGAGGATATTGGCCTAATCTGTAACAGCTCACAAATTGCTAAGCTGCACTGGACAGATTAGCACTGGCTGTCAGCCGTTTCTGGCCATACCTTACACCCTCGAAGTGCAATGCTTTCCTCCAAGATTGGTAGAGACCGCCTCCTGCACTGCCCTTTTGTGGGTATCAACTGGAAGTCGTTCAAAAATCCAACTACCTGGAAGTTGTATCAGCGCCCTTGGGATCGAAGACGTGATCACGAGCCGTATAGCAAAAACTCACGGCGCTTTTGCTAACCTTCACCACCTATGGCGCCGGCGCCACATCACTCTTTCTCTGAAGCAGAGTTGACAGTGCTGCCGTCCGTTCAACTCCTTTATGGCTGTAAGGCTTTGCCCACTAGAGCAGCAGACACAATGAGTCTACTTACCTTTGGCCACCGGTGTCTTCGCAGTTTGGCTCACATCTGGTGAGAACACCGCTTGAGCAACGAGCGTGCTCGATGCCTTGCTTATGGCACATGAAGAGGAAATGAATCGCTCAGCACCATTATTTCACGCACCAGGCTCCGATGGCTGGGCCACGTGTTGCGCATGCCAGCCCACCGACTCCCGTGTCCTACATTGTTTGCGCGCCGGAAGTGTGGATGGAAGAAGAGGAATGGCCAAGCGATGATTTGGTCCAGAGCAATGAAGGCCCTTACTTTGACGTTGGCCTCGGTTGGAGCCTTTCGGCTCCCTGGTTGGGGCTTGAAAGACGATGAACACCTTTGGCTGGATTCACTTTCTGAGAAGGCTAGGAGCCGACCTCAGTGGCGCTCGTGTTGCGAGTTTTTTGTCCCTCCTCATTTCTCTTAGCCTCCCCCATCAACCGTCATCTCATTTCTTAGGTTAAAATAACTTTTGTATAATAATTTTTCGCTGCATAGCAACTGGCTGGTAGCTCTCCGTAACGATACCTATTTGTTACTGGTAGCTCAGCTAGCGTGTACTTGTTGTTTTTTTTCTTATATATTGCAGCACAGTAGTTGAGATGTTTTCCACCTCTAGCTAAGGCGTATAATGATGATGATGATCTCTTTTGGCGAACGGTTGCATAACGATCATAAAGAGTGGCGGACTCCACTTGTTGATGCCCTTATCTATAGGAGAAGCCGTCTTCAGTAAAGTCCTAAGACATTTAAACCGGCGATGCCAGATTTTAACAATGTCATATTATGGCGCATCATCGTCATCTATATCTTTCACTTCATCATGCTGTGTGGCCCTTTAAGAAAAGATATTTGATAACCTATGTGTATTCAACTGGGTCCGTAATGCAACCCTCCTTGAAATCAGAACCTAGAAGAAGAAAATTGTCATTTGTATGGATTTGCGATTTTACGGAAAACCTATATGTATAGATGTCATTACACGTGCCAAATTTCTTCTCCCCACGATTACTTGAAGTTGGTCGTATTGCAAAACCAAACAATAAATTATTTGTCCTAATTACCTGGCAGATTGATCTGAATACAGGGATCCACTAAGGGATTTGGCATTAGTGGCTTTGGCAGACACATGGTATGAAGTTTGCTTGTAACATACCGTGGTCATCAGGAGTTTACTGCAACCAACTACGCGACGGTGAATCCCTGCTTACGATTGTCGGTTTTAATGCGGCTACTCCTACGGACGTCCACTGACGCATCTTCCGACTGATTACTTTTGAGCATTTCCGAGCTCTTCGTACAGTCTTTGTCGTTCATATGTTAGCTACTCGGTTGGCTTTTCCGTTTTTACCACCATCAATCAATATTTTGCCGTGAAGATCCGCCATACTGGCCTAAATTGACGGTTCGTCTATAGGGGGCATTTCGTATGCTTTATCCGTTGTTTCAGGCTGGTTCCGCTGCATCGCAGAATGTTTTGGTGGATCTCCATCCTCATATAGGGTCTTCTGCTGAAGCGAAGTGTCTCGCCGTAAATCCTCTTCGTCCGGAGATGGTGGCGGTTGGTGGTAACGACCAGTACGTTCGTGTGTACGATCGGCGCAAACTACGACTGTGCGCCGTCAGTGATCCAGTTCGTCCCCGGTAAGTCGTTAACACCACGGGTTAACGCGTTCCATTTCCGCCGCAGTTATGTTCTTATAATTTCATACATTTTAATCGCTTTATCGAGTAATGACTACTGGACCAAGTATATGGGTTGCTTGACGGATCACTTGTTTTCGGCCTCTTAGTGTTCGGATCCGTTCTACCACAGCTTTGTACTACAATAGTCCACTTCCTCGACTTCACCAGGGTTTTCGCTTTATTGTAAAACTACTTGAATTATTTTTGGATTCACCATAACCACAGTACTGAAACCATTGGCCGATCGTAGTCCTACTTTGACCACTTATCGTACCTGTTCTTAGCGTCCACGAACTTGTCGCAGCTTGGCCGGCAATGCATTGCGCCGTCCGACGACACATAATACTGAGGGAGTCAACCGTTACGTAGCAACCTAGGAATTCGTGTCACCATTCTCAAGCAGCTCTACATCCATCCGACCGTTGCGTTTTCAGTTGGTCCGTCAGTCTGTCTAGTCGAAATCCCCTCACACTTTCCTAGCACGCCTTCATGTATAGGCCACCGCTTTGTAGAACTATGGGGTGCGTACTCACCGTCGACATTTTAGCCTATAAAGCCTTATGTAGTCGTCAAAAAATTTACTCTTCTCATTCATCTTTGTCTGCTTCTCCAAGGTTAACTTGCCGATAGCCGCCTATGATCATGCAACCCGTGTTGATGGTTTGTCCGTATGGTTTGACAAAAGTAGGATCTCAATCCGCAACGCGTATTCCATCCTTAGCACTCTGTGTTCGATCACTCAACAACGATGTGCGCGTACCCACTCTAAGTCTGTTTGCGAATTGCAAAATCTAGAACTGCCTTCTTGAATTCTGCGACATCTGTGGCGTCTGAACGATGTTTTCCTCGGTTTGAATGGCCGTGTTTACAAGGTCTCCGTAAGGATTGCCGTACTCTATGGGAGTGAGGCTTGGCCCCTTCGGTCTGACGATTTAAGTCTGGTTTAAGTCTTTGATCATTGCTGCCTGTGAAGTATTGCTGGCGTCGGATAGCGCCACCGTATCTGCAAGGGTGAGGTGCGTAGAAGAACGCCAGGCAGTTGTAATCAGGCTAGTTCATTGGAGTAGCAGATAGCATTAAATAAGCTGCGTTGGCTTGGACAAGCCCTACAAATGCCGGTAACTGCTTACCCAGAGGAGCCTTTTTTGTTTGCCTGACGTAGGCTGGCTCAAGCTGAGCAAAAGCTGACTTGATAGCGGGAAATGAAGTCAATGACTACAAAACGAGGTGCCTTTATTCCGTCCCACCTTCCAGACTGGAGTCTACGTGACCTTCCTTGTGCTTGACTGGAGACGTTATAGGGCATAGCTAGCAGTCGGCACAAGTGGCGCGTCTGTTGTCTTCTTCTAATCAGACTGCCTGTTTATAGTGTTTGGTGCTGATTTGTCTGGTGGGGGTACTGGCTGAGTGTGACGCGTGGCAGTTAAAACCGTAAAGAAGTTACCTCCCTGTCGTCTTTGCACAATTGCCAACTGTTTGTGATGGTAGGTTGTTAACACAAGATGTAGGCGCCTTGGTCCTGAATGTTTGCTCAGGACACTTAGATATCGCGCGGCTTCCCCTATCTCTCCTTCTTAATATTCTTCGTTCCTTAGATCATTGTGGTTGTGCAGCAACGAAGCATCAGTTTAAACGGCTGATGTACTACTGCGGTTGGTGACGTTGATGATTCAACGGATTGCGCACTCTTAACACACGCGCTGTTACAGAACTATGTACATAATATGTCATCATTTTCACCAGTCCCCGGCTGTCTGTCACCATGGGCTGGTAATTCGCGTCCCTGGGGCCACCGAGCGAACCGCTGTAGACACCGCCAAGCAAAATGGCTGCAAACCCTCCACTTAATCAAATCCCAGTGAATAGACGCATGCTGTTCGAATCAGAATTTCCTTCACCATCATTCAATCACTTTTTTGTTATTTTTAGCTGCACTGCTTGAAGATGGTGGAGGCGAATTTCGCAGGGCTAAAAGTTGAGCTTTTTGCCCTTCTCATTCTTCCGGTCTTCGAGTATTGTAACATAATATTTATCAATATGAAAAAGAGTAGCGTAATTGCTGTGAAACTGCAGAAGTCGTTTGTCAAACCTCTGCTTAGCAGGTGCTCTGCCATGAATTATGGAGAACGCTGCAACAAACTTCAACTCTAACCAATTTGGATGCGACCTTTGCCGCTTTTCAAACGGTTACACAGTAAAACCTTTTCTGATCTGCCTGCACTCAAACTGCAACGTAACCTAACTCGAGAGCTTCGCAGCAGACTATACACCGCTTACACAACGGTCAGAACGAACATGCGCTACACTTTCCTTCTGTTCAAATCTACTCATCTGTTAAATAAACTACCAAACACACTCAGATTATATGAAAATGGGGCGACATTTAGTATTAAATAAACTCGCAAGTTACCTTGGCCTAAACACGATAATAATCATATTCACATGGGAAAAATCACCCAGTGAACTTTTCCGAGAAGGGCCAAAATGCATCTAAGTACCTACGCCTATAAACCTTGGTTTTCACCTTAACCATCCACTAAAATGTTAGTATATTATTCTCCTGCTTTAATGTTCCTCCTATGCATATTGATCTGTGCTGCTACAGACACGGCTCCTCGGACCTTGAGGATAAACATTTTATTATTATTATTATTATTATTATTATTATTATTATTAATGTGGATCCGATTAGGTCGGGCGCATTTTCTTCACATACGTTTATGATACAATGTGCTGCGCGCTTCAACATGTGAATTCCCCCCCCTCCCCCAAGTCCTAGCTCTTGTCATGAGCCTGGTCGGACACACCACTGATCCCTACGAGTACTGCCCACCCCTCTGAAAGGGATCGATCAGCTTACTAAGTTATCTGGCGTAACCGAATCGCAACAAACGTTGTGGCCTACAATTATAAGGCTCGTGTGATCTTTTAGAGTCTGCACTAAACACTGATAGATTGGTTGTCTAAGACCACTAGGGCTTGCCTACCATAACTCTCATGCCCAGTGGTGGGATCACGGATGCAGATGTTTGGAGATACACTCCAGGGTACTTCGCTACACTAGCTTCTCATTTAATCCACCTGCGTTGTTAGACTGTCCTTCTGGTGACTGCCGGTCGTCTGCCTCGGGATGTTTTGTCTTGGGATTCTAGACGTACTTAGAGGATGATCGGCCGATGGCCTAAAAAGTTGCAGACTTGTAATCCAGTAGTCACGGATTCGAAACCGTAGAGGTGCGGGCTACCACGCGGTATCCCCTATTCTCACTCCACTGTTGGTGGTCGCGTGGCAGCAAAGTGTCGCTACCATGTGCTGGCGTACTGCTGATGCTTTTACTTTGCCTTGGATGGCCACTGACAACATGATGTTATGCCGTGTAATGATTGACCAGAGACTTGGTCGGATTGTACTGCTTTTCTTTTTTCAGATGAAGACGTCGTCTAGGACTAGAGACCTTAACATACTTGATAGCTTCGGTCATGGATCCAACAGATTTTGTTTCTAGTATCATAATCTCACTGGCTGAACCGAGACCGAATATGTTACTAGCTCAGTTGTGGTTTCAGATCAACAGTCCGTCGCATTCGGCTACTTTATACAAATGGGTATGCATTTCCAGCCCGAAACAGTAATGCGCGGAGGCTCAGAAATCATCAGATTCTGCGCTACACTTCGTCAGTCCTCATTCCTGCCCATTATTAATGCAACACAAGGGTGCCCACTTTTGTCCTGTCTGTGGAAGTCATCTTTTGACACCTTTATCTCATCGCCAAGATCTCCGGGTGTGTATGCAGCAGATGTGCGGGTGCCTCTGAAGAGGATTGAAGGATTTTGCTGGCGGGCCTCTAGCTACTAATGACTACCCTTCAGGATCCGATATGACATGCATTTGCAACTCAACTAGATTGTATACGCCTCTGTGCTTTGTGTGGTCTACGCAGCTATGGCTGAAGACATCGCGTTACTTATCTGCCACTTTTTGACAACTTTATACGCTCATTCTTTTCACGTGATTAACGAAAGATGGTCCTACGATTCATCCATCTAAAGCAGGCTTTTTACACATCCCTTGATGCAAACAACACTGCTACTCATCTTTCCGGTTACGCACAATCTGAAATGGGGTCCACGTCTTCATACTTGCTATCAAAGCAGCCATCCTGTGGCCAATGTTTGTCACAATGACGGCGGCGCCTACCACCGTCAGTTATCGACAGTATCGTCGCTTTTTGCTGGTCAGATTTGCACTTCATTTTATGGTGCACACCGAGCGAACGCTGCTCCTGATCCGAACCAATCTCAGTGCCCGTCATCCGCTGTTGGCGCTTGTCCATAGAAAATTGCCGATCAACTTTGAGCACCTGCCTCGACCCCTATCGTGTAGTCCTCTAACGATCAAAGGGAAGTCTGGCCAATAGTCAAATATGATGAACTGCAATATCATTATGGCAACCTTACACTGACTGTTTCTTACTGTCGCATGCAATACCGTCTGCTTAAATTCATTTGCACGCACGCGCTGCTCGTTCGCCATGTTCGTCCAACTCACACCTACTCCGTCAGACAACTATCACACGCTCTGGAAAGCACTGTACGGCCGTTTCACCTTTTCGAGTCTCGTCAGTAGTGCGCATTCCATCTGACGCCTGTGGGTCTCAAACCCGAAGCTCGACTGTTGCCAGTCTGTGGTTCAGACCACTGTGCTAGGGAGACGGCAGCGACCGTCGTGACTAAGTTACTAGATGTTCAAGTCAGTGAACTGTGAGCGCCACGTGGGCTGTTTGCTCTCCCTTGTCCAGGTCAATCCGAACCCTTTCTGTGTGGAACCACAATGCACTTCGTTCGTACTAGATCAAACTAATCCTACCTTATCTCTCTGGCCTGTGTAATTGTGGTCAGCTCTTGATTGCTTTCCTGTCTCGTATAGGTTGCGCTCAACCAAACTACCAACTGCTGTC